GACTAGAAAGAGAAGAGGAGAAATAGGCGACTGAAAACCAGATCCAAGTCCCCTTAAGAAAACACATCATCAAATATTGCCCTTTACTTGGGCTGTGAATTAAATGTTAACTTTTTATTCCATTGCGTTTGAGATTATGATAAATTATAAAATCCTGTTTGTAGCTATTTTAGTTTTTAAGAGACGGGGTCATGCTTTGTCACCCAGGCTGGAGTGCAGTGGCACCATCAGACCGTCGCTCACTGCAACCTTGAACTCCTGGACCTAAGTGATTCTCCCGCCTCTCTCCTGAGTAGCTGGGACCACAGGCATGAGACACCACACCTGGCTAATTGCAGCTCTGTATCATATCAGTACTCAGAGCTCTGAGTAGCTGTATGACAGGGACTCTCATGAATTGGGCATCAGCCACAGAACACTGTAGAGCAGGTTGTTTTCTGGGCGGCTTGGGGCAGATGAAATAAATCCCGGGATAGATTATGACATGGAGATTTGAATGCTTGAACTATAGATTTTGTCCAGAAAAGGATTCTTGTTAGCTACTGGGATTTTTAAAAAAATCAATGTTTTCTGTTATGTGATTATTCTCTTAGAAATATACAGTTGCTTATTCTTATTCGTGGCAGTTGTATTCTATAATGTTGCTGCGAACTCTGAGTTAGTAAATACAGAAGCATTGCTCCCAGGAAAAATACAGGGTTAGGTCACTGCAAGCCTCTAGTCAAAACGTTTTTGTCCACTGATCAATACATGAGCTTGCTTTATGTGTGTTTCTATTTAAAGACACCTTACTTAACACATATCATTGATTCATTAACATTGAACTCATGGATAACAGCACTGTAACTCATGTCTGAAGGAAGCTTATCTAATGCATGTATTTTTCTCCTTAAATAACATCACAGCCTTCTTGCACTTAGGAACCGTAGATAGCACCATAGTTAGGGAGTTATTTTAAACCGCAGAATCATCAACAAAAAGCCCCCCAAAATGCAAAAAACATGGCACCAAATAGCGTGTGGGGAGGACACTTGTTTTCTGTGTGAGAGCGGAAACAAGAAGGCAGAGGGTTTGACCTCAGCTGGGAGCATGTGTTGGGTTTCTCAAATTTTTTGCCTCTGTCCGTGTCTGCAAGGACTGTACAAACACTGTGAACATTGACTTTGGAGTGACAAATACATTTTAGTAAGCAGATGAATTGACAAACCTTCTAATTTCGTAAGATGTGACTCTGAGTTTGGTAAATGTTAGTAAAGACAGGTAGTTCAAAGTCACCCGAATCACATTAGAGCTCTGTTGCTGCTATCACAAGACCTTGATTATGGTTTAGATTTTTTAAAAGTTTTGAAGCATTTTCAGCTCATGGTGAGTGTATGTATTGATTCGTTATTTAACAATGTTTGTAAGAATACATGCTTCCTACTATTCTGGAGGCTTATAAAAACATAAAACTTTTATAATAACATATGGTCTCTTTGTGATTTACAGATTTTTAACTACTTTCATGGGCACATCTCCTTTAATTCTCCTCACCCCCTGAAAGGTGCTTGGGAACCCAGTCATTAGTGGAAGGTCTGAGACCGGAGATAGCTCTCTAGATTCTGGGGGTAACAGTTGTAACGGGGGACCTGGCCTAGAGAAACTTGTCTGGCTAGGAGCTAGAGTACATTATGAGGCCAGCACCAGAAGCCAAGTTCTATTTTAATGACCACATCACATGGGCCCCTTAACCCATCACCAATGGTGTGATCCTGGAGCCCTCATTTGCACCAGTCAGCCCAGGCACCAACAGCCCCACAGAGAGGTAGGCAGGTGCCTGCAGGAGACTGCGAAGCACTCTGAAGGCAAGTGATAAACTAAGCAAGGCACGATGAGGTAGACCAGCTGTTAGTCAATAAATGACACCTTGCCCAGTGTTAAGAGCACAGTTTCCAGAGCCAGATATCCTGGATTCCAAATCAGCTCTGTTTCTTAATAGCTGTGTGACTTCCAGGGGTGTTATGTTTAGCCTCTGTGTGCATCAATTCATTTATCTGTGGAAGTGGGACAATAATATACTAACATCATAAGGCCATTGTAATAATGAAATAAATTACAACTATGAAGTGCTGTATAAGCACAGACTGTGACAGGTATACCCCAGAAATATTGTGGGTTCCATTCTGGACCGCTGCTGTAAAGCAAATATTACAATAAAATGAGTCACATACATTTTTTCCTTAGTGCATATAAAAGTTATGCTTAAACTGCACTGTAATCTCTTGAGTATGCAGTTGTGTTATGTGTAAAAAATAATGTACATATCTTAATTTAAAAATCTTTTATTGCTAAAAAATGCTAACGATGATCTGAGCCCTCAGCAAACCATCATCTTTTTGCTGGTGAAGGGTCTAGCTTTGATATTGACAGCTGCTGAATGATCAGGGTGGTGGTTGCTGAAGGTTGCGGTGACTGTGGCAGTTTCTTAAAGTAAGACAACAATGGAATTTGACACAGCAATTGACTCTTCCTTTCGTGAAAGACTTCTCTGTAGCATGCAATGCTGTTTTATAGCATTTTACCTACAATAGAACTTCTTTCAAAATTGGAGCTATCCCTCTCAAACTCTGCTGCTGCTTTATCAACTAAGTTTATGCAGTCTTCTAAGTCCTTTGTTGTTATTACAACAATGTTCACAGCACCTTCACCAAGAGTAGATTCTAAAGAAACCACTTTCTTTGCTCCTCCTCCATGAGAAGCACTTCCTCATCTGTTCAAGTTTTATCATGAGATTGTAAAAATTCAGTCCCACCTTCAGGCTCCACTTCTAGTTCTCTTGCTGTTTCTATCACATCTGCTGTTGCTTCCTCCACTGAAACCTTGAACCCCTCAAAATCACCCATGAAGGTTGAAATCAACTTCTTCCAAACTACAGTTAATGTTGATATTTTGACCTCATGAATCATGAATGTTCTAGAATGGCATCTAGAAGGGTGAATATTTTCCAGAATGTTTTCAATTTCCTTTTCTAGTCCATCAGAGGAATCACCATTTATGGCAGTTATAGTGTTAGGGAATGTATTTCTTAAATAACAAGACTTGAAAGTTGGAATTAGTCCTTGAAACATGGACTTCAGAAGGGATGTTGTGTTTGCAGGCCTGAAAACAACCTAAATATCCTTGTACCTCTCTGTCAGGACTCTTGAGTGACCAGGTGCATTGTCAATGAGCAGTAATATATTGAAGGGACTCTTGTTTTTTGTTTTGAGTCATAGTGAGGAAGGAGACCACCACTTCTCCTGCTGCTTCCCCCACTACCTAGTTTATAAGACAGGAGAAAAAGGAGAAAGTAAAAAGTTAAAAAGAAACAAAAGTAAGATAAATAGCCAGATGACCTTGGTACCACCACCTGGCCCTGATGGTTTAAAAAAAATAATAATAATATCAACCCTTGACCTAAAGTACTTGTGTTATCTGTAAATTCCAGACATTGTGTGAGGAATAATTGTAAAAACCTCCTGTTCTGTTAGCTCATGCATGTAGCCCCCAGTCATGTTCCCCACACTTGTGACCCTTTCATGTAGACCCCTTAAAGTTGTAAGCCCTTAAAAAGGCCAAGATTTTTTTTCAGGCAGCTTGGCTCTTATGACATAAGTCTGCTGAAGCTCCCGGTTGAAGGAAGCCACTTCCTTCTTTAACCCAGTGTCTGAGGAGTTTTATCTGCAGCTTATCCTGCTACATTTCTTGGTTCCCTGACCAGGAAGCAAGGTAATTAATGGTCAGTCGAGGCAGCCCTTTAGGTAGCTTTTGCCTGCCCTGTGGAGCTTCCCTTTGGGGGACCTCAGCTGGCTCAAGCGTCACAGATCCTGAGAGTGCTCGCAGGTAGGCATTTGCCCTGCTGGAATGTCTCATCAGAGCTGTGCATGGTAGGCCCCCGTGGAGGATCAACACAGTGGCTGAACACCGGGAAGGAACTGGCACTTGGAGTCCAGACATCTGGAACATGGTGAGACCGGTCTTAGGAACTTGCCCACTCCATTTGAGTGGAAGCATGGCCTGATCACCCACAGTGTGCCTTTACTGGGACTTTGGTTTTGGTTTTGGTTTTGACTTGGCTTGAATCACTTGACAAATGAGTATGCCTTTATCAGCACTTTGGTTTTTCTTTTGATTCTGATTTGGTGTGAATTGCTTGGCAAGTGAATGACCTTTTTACCCTTTGCCCTTTTTCTTTCCCTTCTTGTGGCCAGAGTGGCTTGCCACCCCAATTATGAACATAGAACTGAAAGTGTGTGAAAGTGTGTGAATGGAGGGGCTAATTAGGCTCATCAGCTGCGAAGTGGGGAGTCACAGATCTCTTAGTGTGGACTGTGTGCTCCGTGAAACTGTGGGGCCGACAAAGACTAGGGGCGATCTACATGTGGCTAATAGGAGCTGCCCTACAGCTCAGAGTTGTAGTGGGAATAAGGACCTCTCCAAAGCCAAGCAGCATCTGAAAACTCCCATAATAGGAGGTGGTGTAGTTGGCCAAAACAAGAGGAAGAGTGAGTGTGCAAGAGTGAATGTGCTGCGTTATAAAAGGAGGAATAGAAGGAAAGTCATCCAAACATCAAAACTTACTCTATGGGAGTGCATGTTACAGAACCTTAAGAAAGGTTTTGCAGGGGATTATAGAGTTAAGTTAACCCCCCAGAGGTTGAAAACTCTCTGTGAATTAAAATTGCCCTCATTTGGTGTTAGATGGCCAACCGAAGGAACTTTAGACATGGAAGAATTGGCAATGTATTTAAGGTGGTGACAAGGGTCGGAGGACAGCCAGTGTACCCTGAGCAAATTACTTTATGTTAACTCATGGCTAAATATAATATAGACAAAACTAGCATAGATCCAGCCCTGTTTAATGGCTTACTGCAAAAAAGCCAAAACTGAAAGTAAAAGCAGCTTTGCCAGCAGACACAGTTAAAAGTGGAGTCCCAGAGACAGCAAGAGAAGCCAGTTTTGCAGGAGCCGCCAGAGGCAACAGAAATTCTTTCTCCATATGTCCCAGCCTACCTCCCCTTTACCGAGGCCAACAGCCACCGCAGAAACCAGATTCAGGAGCTAAAATGCCCCAAGTCTCACCTTGAAGGTGAGGATCAGAGCCTCGAGAGGCCAGAAAAGGAAGTCGAGATAGTCAAGCGGGCCATCTCAGATCTGGTCATGCTGGAGCTGTACAAATGCCTCTCATGGAGATGTGATGACCTATCTATTATGACCAGGGTCACATCTGGGGAGGGGTGGTGGGGAGCAACAGACTTTCATCTATCAGCCCTTTTTGGGAGGGGTGGTGGGGAGCAACAGACTTTCATCTATCAGCCCTTTTCAACCACTGATATACTAAACTGGAAACACTCTGAACCCCACCACCTTGCTCCTGGTATCAGAGAGCCCTGTTGTGCATAACTATGTAGAAGTGTTGGACTCAGTTTACTGCAGGAGACCTGACCTCCGGGACCAGCCTTGGGCATCAGTAGACTGGAAGCTATATGTGGACAGGAGCAGCTTCATCAACCCACAAGGAGAGAGATGTGCGGGGTATGTGGTGGTAACCCTGGACACTGTTGTTGAAACCAGATCGTTGCCCCAAGGCACTTCAGCCCAGAAAGCCGAGCTCATTGCTTTAATTCGGGCCTTAGAACTCAGTGAAGGTAAGACTGTAAACATTTACACTGACTCTCGGTATGCCTTTTTAACCCTCCAAGTGCCTGGAGCATTACATAAAGAAAAAGGGCCTATTGAACTCTGGGGGAAAGGACAAAAAGGACCTGGAGGATGCAACTCAGCTTCAACGTTTGCAGAGGTACCGAGAGGCAGTTCTGCAGGGGCTAAGAGTTAGTAGAAGGAAAGCAATTAATACAAGGAAGATTTCAGAGTGCTTCATGGAGCTAAAGAAAGGCTAAGTCAGTTGTGTGAAAAAGTCTGTAAAGCGTTCTGGCTTTACACCCCATTTAACCCTGAGACTGCTGAAAATCGGCATATGGTAAATACTTCATTTGTAAGGCAAGCCCAGGGTGACATCAAGCAGAAGCTGCAGGCATGAATACTACCCAGTCTATAAAAGTAGCTACCAAGGTCTATGTTAACTGTGACCTGGCAACACAACAGGAAAAAGCAAAAGCAACAAGTGCAGCAGCTAGACACGCCAAGGGTTAAATCCCTCTCTCCAGCCCAGCTCTATCTGAAAAAAAGGGGGCTGGAGACCAGTATTAGGAGAAGAACAAAGGAAAAAGAAAGGAAAAAATGAAAGTATGAGAAAGAAAAAAAAAGGTAAAAAGAAAATCAGAAAGAAACAAGAGAGACAGACAGCAGTGTGTGGGGGTAAGGCCCGTGTGTTGCCCGGCCCTGCCGGCTCGCCAAAAGAGCAGGAGAACTCAGGAAAGAAAAAGGAAAGTAAATTAAAGACTTAAGAAAAAGGCCAATCTGTTGGTGACAGTTCTTATAGAAAGAGAGATTAGTGATGTGAGAGGACGTAGACGCAGATGTAGGTGTGGAAGAAATCAAGTTAGGCAGGAATTCAAGAGCCAGGCAAGGCTAGAAAGAAATTAAAGTGTGAGATGCAAAAAAGGACACTGGAAAGATAAATTTTCAGAAGACAATGAGGGAAATGGCCAAGGCCACAAGACAAAAAGGCCATTGGCCAAGCACTGCCGCACCTTGGAAGAACCAAATACTGATCTGATCAGGCTGGCAGGAGCTAAAAGAGGTAAGGACTAGGACAGACCAGACAACTTCTCATTAGGCTCCCAGGAGCCATGGTCACATTAGAAGTTAAAGGCAGCAAAATTCTGCCGTATCTGGATTCCAATTTCTCACTGATAGCTAAGCCACTAGATTAAATTACAAAGAAAGAAAAAAAGAAAAAAGAAACCCTCCTCTAGGAAACTGAACAGAAGAAGGAGCCATGCCTTGTGAAAACTTGCTTATAAGCTTTACAGAACTGCCCCATGCCAGTGGCTATCAGTACACACTAGTGCTTGTTTGCTCATTTTCAGAATAAGTTGAAGCTTTCCCTATGAGGACAGAAAAAGTATAAGAAGTGACTAAAGTACTGTTAAAAAACATTATTCCCAGGTTTAGACTGCCTCTGACTTTAAAGTGAGACAATAGGCCGGCATTTGTAACTGAAATAGTACAAGATTTAACAAGACTTTAAAAATAAAATAAAAGTTACATACAGCCTATCAGCCAAAAAAGTTCAGGAAAAAGTAGAACACATGAACTGGACACTCAAGCAGCTACTGAAGAAATATTGCCAGGAAATTTATTTGAAATAGAATCAGGTTTTTGCCTATGGTCCTCCTCCGAGTTAGGTGCACCCCCACCAAACAAACTGGTTATTTGCCCTATAAGATTTTGTTCGGTCAGCCACCCCCAAATCGTAGGTCAAATTAAAGGTGACCTCCAGGAACTAAAGGAATTAACCTTAAGAAAGCAAATGTAGGCTTTAGAAATAGCCATACAAAGTGTTCATGATTAAATACATGAAATGCCTATAAGCCTGATACCCCTTTAAATCTGGTAAATCTGTTTAAGTTAAAAAGTAGAATCTAATTTATTTAGGTCCCATATAGGATGGGCTCCATACTGTAATCTTGTCCACTCCCACTACTGTTAAAGATGCAGGTGTTATGTCTTTGATCCACCACCATTGACTAACACTGGCAGCTCAGGACAAGTAAACCAGCCAGCAAGACCCAGACCATCCAACCTGGCTAATCCTGAGACGAGACCAAGCTGCTGCTGAGGACGACAGCCCTGCTCTGTTACTCTGGAGTCTGACCAGTCTACACATGGCTGAAGCTTGAAGAAACAACAAGCCCTGCTCCAGTCATATACCAGAAGCTGACTAGACTACACATGGCTGAAGTTTGAGGACTCGTCAAGCAAGTAATGTAGTTAGAAATCTTAGGACTAGTGGTTTTCCTGTATTTAACTGTTTTACTATTGTTCTGTTGCTGTGCTTACCTGTCTTTTTCTCAGGTAAGGACCTCTTTTGTCCTTGCTGGATATAAATATGCTGTACATTGTTTTGTTGTTATTCCCCCCTTAACCATGCTAAAAGAAACACCTGTAGAAAGGTGTCCCCACTGTACACACACTACTTGGTCAAGGAACCCGAACCTATCTGGCCCAGCAACAATTCCGAGTCTTTAAGTCATTCTTTGAGCATATAAACTAGAAGTTACCAGAGCCGCCTCCTTTAGCAAACAAAACAAAACCAAAACCAAAAAAAAAAAGCAAAAAAAAAAACCAAAAAAACACCAAAAAAACCCCCAAAAAACAAAAATCAAAAAACAAAACTATTTGTTCAGCTAGATGAAAACATTGCCAGCAGTCTAAGTGTTTTCTCATGTTATGTTTATAGAAAGGCTAACATAAGAGACCAATGGTCTTGAGAAGCAAAAATGTTCATGCCTCACGATAACTTTAACTGACTCTTTCCCCAAGCAGACGCCCACAAGTTCAAGTATCTGGCTCTTAAAAATTTCTATTATTAAGAAATACTGTGTTGCTTGCTAGGAAAAGGCTTTTACAAACAGGTGAGCTCCTAAGTTTCACTGTCTATGCCTTCCAAGAAAAAAAAAAGCATAGCTATAAAACATTAAAAAGATAATAAGTGGCCCCTCAAAAAGGTCATACAGTACTATAGGCCTGCCATATGGGCACAAGATGGCTCATAAGGATACCGAACCCCCATCTACATGCTCAGTCAAATCATATGGTTGCAGGCTGTCTTAGAATCACTAGTAAAACTGGCAGAGCTTTAACCGTTTTAGCCCAGCAGGAAACCCAAATGAAAAATGCCGTCTATCAAAATAAACTGGCCTTAGAATATTTGCTAGCAGCTGAAAGAGGAGTCTGGAAAATTTAACTTAACCAATTGCTGTCTACAAACAGATAATCAAGGACAGCTGTTCAAAAATATAGTCAAGGACATGACAAAGTTGGCACATGTGCCTGCATAGGCTTAGCACAGGTTTAATCATAGGTCTTTATTTAAAAAATAGTTTCCAGTTATAAAAAATTAAAACCCTCATTGTAAGTGTATTGCTAGTAATACTTGCTTGCTGCTCCCCTGTGTATTACCTGTGCTCCTTCAAATAATAAAAAGTTTTGTTGCTAATTAGTTCATCAGAAAACTTCGGCACAAGTATATTACATAAATCACTATCACTCTGTTTCACAGAAAGACTCAGAAAGTAAAGATAAAAGTGAGAACTCCCACTAATAAGTGAGATTCTCAAAGGGGGGAAATGAGGAAGGAGACCACCACTTCTCCTGCTGCTCCCCGCTCTTGCCTAGTTTATAAGACAGGAGAAAAGGGAGAAAGCAAAAAGTTAAAAAGAAACAAAAGTGAGATAAATAGCCAGATGACCTTGGTGCCACCAACCAGCCCTAATGTTTAAATAATAATAATAATAATATCAACCCCTGACATAAAGTACTTGTGTTATCTATAAATTCCAGACATTGTATGAGGAAGCATTGTAAAACTTTCTGTTCTGTTATGTGATGCATGTAGCCCTCAGTCACATTCCCCATGCTTGCAACCGTTTCACATTGACCCCTTAAAGTTGTAAGCCCTTAAAAAGGCCAAGAATTTTTTTTTCGGGGAGCTCGGCTCTTAACACTCAACTCTGCAAAAGCTCCCAGCCAAATAAAGCCACTTCCTTCTTTAACCTGGTGTCTGAGGAGTTTTGTCTGAGGCTGGTCCTGCTACATTTCATCTCAGCAGTGGGTTTAAAATACTTGGCCAACCTTGCTGTAAACAGCTGTGCTGTCATCCAGGCTTTGTTGTTCCATTTCTAGAGCACAGACAGAAGATATTTAGGATAATAATTAAGAGCTCTAGAATTTTTGGAATGATAAATGAGCATTACATTCAACTTAAAGTCACCAACTGCTTTAACTCCTAACATGTGAGTCAGCCTGTCCTTTGAAGTTTTGAAGTCAGGCATTGAATTCTCCTTTCTTGCTATGAAAATCACACATAGCATCTTTTCCCAATATAAGGCTGTTTTGTCTAGATGGAAAGTCTGTTGTTTGCTGTTTAATGATAATCTTCATTTACTAGCTTTGCTAGATCTTCTGGATTACTTGCTGGAACTTCTCCATCAGCACTTGCTGCTTCATTTTGCACTTTTAAGTTATGGATATGGTTTCTTTCCTTAATCATGAACCAATTTCTGTTAGCTTCAGATTTTTCTTCTGAATCTTCCTCACCTCTCTCAGCTTTCATAGAATTGAAAAGAGTTAGGGCCTTACTCTGGGTTAGGCTTTGGCTAAGGGAATATTGTGGCTGGTTTAGTCTTCTATTCAGAACGTTAAAACTTTCTCCATATCAGTGATAAGGCTGTTTCGCATTCTTATCATTCATGTGTTCACTGGAGTAGCACTTTTAATTTCCTTCAAGAACTTTCCCTTTGCATTTACAACTTGGCTTTTTGGTGCAAGAGGCCTAGCTTTCAGCTTGTCTTGGCTTTCTACATACCTTCCTTGTTAAGCTTGATCATTTCAAGCTTATGATTTAAAAGTGAGAGACATGTGACTCTTCCTTTCAGTTGAACACCTAGAGCCCATTGTAGGGTTACTAATTGGCCTTGTTTCAATATTGTTGTGTCTTAGGGAATAGGGAGGCCTGAGGAGA